TCTTTTTTTTTTTTTTTATGATGTGGCATAATTAAATCAATAATTAATTTTAACTTCTTCATTTTCTTGTTTCCCGACATATCTTTACCATCTTCCTCCTCATCCTCCTCGGCTCCTCATGGAACCAAGAACCCAAGACGTTATGTCACATTCATTAATCCAATGTGGACTCTTTTTTTTTTATAATCTGTTATAATTAAATTATAATTAATTTTAATTTCTTCATTTTCTTCTTTCTCGGCATCATCTTCACCATCCTTGTCCTCATCCTCCTGGGTTCCTCGCGGAACCAAGATTCTAAGTTTCTAGTGGAACCCAATTTCACATGAATGCCTACCAAACTAAAATCTTCATCCACACAATTATAAGTAAATGAATACTGCACAAAAACATAATATGCATCTTCCACCCCTTTTCCACAAAAAACAAAAAAATCATTATTGCCATTCATGTTAATCCCACTTGAACTCAAATTGGCAACCTATGTAGAGACAATCTCCAAGCAAAAAAACTCACCTTTCCAACAAAAAAAATTATTCCAAATTGCTTTGCATAAAATAGGAAACTAAGATAAATACATTCAAAAAAAAAATGATAAAAAAAAGGTCAAAACCCAGAATTTGGGTTCCCCGCATAGGAACCCATTGAGAAGAGGAGAAGAGGATGGTGAAGATAATGCCGAGGATAAGGGGGATAAGGATGAGGGGGAAAGAAAAAGATGAAGAAATGCCATGTCATAAAAAAAAAAAAAAAGTTCACGTTGGATTAATAAGGTGATATAACGTTCATGTTACTGTTTGGTGCCATGTATTACAATTTTTTATGGTTATTAACATTTCCGTTACAACCACTTAAAATATTGGGTTTTTTACGGATTTGAAAAGGCAGAAGATGTGAATAGGGAGGAAAAATTATAAGGTACTGACCATGAAAATAAAATAAATGGTGGGTGCAAATAGGGGTTTGGCCAAAAACAATTTCTAAACTTTTCAACTCAAAGCTCAAGTCCTCAAACTAATTTATTCACCTTTTTGATGGTATAATTACTTGCTTTTTTTTTTTATCTTAGTTGCACAATGGGGAGACAACCATCTCTCCCATCTTCTATCCCACCCTATCTACATGTCATGCGACTCAAACAATTACTTAGATATTTAAAAACATTAAAGATATAATTTAAGAATGATTTGATGATAGCTATCAAATAAAGTAATTTAATAATAATTTTTTTAATATGAGTAAAAAATATTAAATTTAAATTATACAATATATAAATCAAATAAATTAAATAATAAAAAATAATTATTTCTTATCTTGTAATTTAAGATATAATAATAATAATAATTCGATGATTGCACTTTGTTTCTTCCATTTATCATTATTTTGCATTTAGTGGGCTAAGGAAACATGTCCAGATTCAATGAATTTAAGAGGTGTCCAGATTCAGTGAATGCCTCTGTCTCATGCTCCCTAATTTTTTTTAATGTCAAATAGTTCCTAATTAATTACCTTCAATTATATATATACATATTGGATAGTCTCACATTTTAAATTGCATAGTGGAAAAACATTTCACATCATTGGTTTGGTACAACAATTATATCTCAATTAATTTATAATTAAGTTGATTTTTTTAATTCAGCTAAAGATAAACCACTCTTAATCTTACCTAGGATATGGGTTTTCGCATTTTTGTACTCACTCGTTAGGAGCACCACCAGCATCCCTGCCACGCATGGAGGTAGGACTAGCACGCCCTAAACAAAGGCCACCCTTTTCTGCCACCACTACCCCAAACCCTCTAGAGCAGCTGGCTTCGACTGCCTCCGTTGACAACCCAGCAATCCCAGGATATCAATCTTGTTGGGATGAGTTCTCCATTGATGGTTCATCCAGCATTCAATCCAGAGACACCTTGCAGTCAATTGTGAATAGCTCATCCCACTGCCAGTATTCTCCTCACGGGAGTCTGCTTTCACTTGACCAGAACAAGTTGCTCCAACACATTGAGTCATCATGCTTTGATCCTCAACAAGAGCAGTTAATTGGGATATCTTCCGGGATTGTTTCTACAGCTAATTCAAGTAATTCTTCATCTTCAGCAGCAGCATACTCTAGGAAAACAAGAATGAGATGGACTCCAGATCTTCATGAGAAGTTCATCAACAGTGTCAATCGCCTTGGTGGTGCTGAGAGTAAGTCCTAATTAAGTAATGTTACTTAATATTAGCTTGGATGATTTAATTTGTTGAATATGATTTTTGATGAATCTTTAGAGGCAACACCAAGGGCAATACTGAAGCTAATGGGATCAAATGGATTGACAATTCTCCATGTTAAAAGTCATTTGCAGGTACATATCTTCCATGTCAAAGTATTTCTAACCTTAATGGAATTTGCTTCTAATTCTTCCTATGTTAAAAACATTCTCTTTGCAGAAATGTAGATATACAAAATGCATGTCCAAATCAACAAAAGGTAGTAAATCCATGACCCCATGTTACATTTTTTTCATATAAATTTAGCTTTACATGTTTGACTAAGCGCTTTTGAGGGGTTGAGTTTGTGTGCATTCTACCATGTACAGATAAGAAACTTCAAAATACACGGGATTATGATGAGACAGATAAACATAACAAAAGTGTTACTCATGTTAACATGCCAAAGCTCTACATGAAAACGTAAATCTCACAACCTATCTCTATGCTGTTAGAACTATTTGAGTTGCCTATCCTTGCTAAGTTTCTCACAAAAATCTCTTCTTTAGCGCAGTAGCATGCAAGTGATCGAGATTTTGCATAATCAGCAAGATCTTCAGAGGCATCTCCATGAACAGTTAGAGGTTCGGACTCTATTCCCATGCTTGTTTATTTGCAATCTGCCTCTCAGTTTTGTCTTGTTGTCCACCTTCTACCATGAAACCCCTAAAAGGAAAATCAAACTATCATCTTCTCATGTTTGTTATTTTTGTAGCAGATTCAAAAGAATCTACAGCAGTTGATTGAGGAACAAGGAAGGCAGCTTAAGGCAATGCTTGAACAACAAAATCAAACAAGATAAAATTCCTGAAGGAATCTCAGAACTTGATTATATTACCATTTAGAATAGGAAACACAGCAGCTTGATTGTCTATTCTGTTGTTTATTATTATACTTTTCTCGGCTTTTTGCTTAAGATTGATTAAGTATAGTATCTGTTTTTGTCAGTTTAACATTTAAGAGTGGGTATCGCTCACGTGTTGTGCTACGGGCCCCGGGGCACCCCACCAATACAAGTTGAAGTTTTGTTAAGCTAAGCCCAAAAGCTTGTTGTTTCCTACTGGGCCTAATAATGCCTGACTTGAACTCCTTCTCCTTTGATGGCTGAAGCCTGAATACGTTAGTCAAAATATTAGTATGTCAATGTAATTTAGAACTTTTTTTTTTTTTTTATCTTGGTTGCACAATGAAAGTGAAAAGTAATTATTTTTCATCTCTTATCTAACTTCACCCATATACTTATATGATTCGAACTTATAATCTTTTACTTTTAGTGAAATGAGATGATCACTGAACTATTTAGGTCATTGACTGTAATTTAGAACTTAAAATTGAATATAACATTAATTAACCTCTACTAACCTATTTAAAACTTGAGTTGAAGAATCGGTGTATGATCTACATTAGTGTTAGTAGATCATGACTCTTCTTGGATAGATTGCACCCTTGCAGATTGAGTTGTCTTCCCATTTCCAGTTTGCCCCTTATGGCGACTTCTATTTGTTATAGTTATTAATCTTAGTGATGTGGTAGTTGCCAGATCGTTAGTTTTGTGTGTTCACTTGAAGCAATGTATTGAACTTGTAATAATATGGATTCAATACAAAGGTAAAAGTTTGTTAAGTTGATAACTTTGTTCTTCATAGTCGCCCGAGTTGGAAATTGAGACTTGAGGTGCAGCTCTTGGAGGTGTTAGTTATTTTCAACTTGGGCAAAACTCAATCTCAAACTAGACGTATCTTAGAGTGTACCTATAATTATTCCCTCACTTATTAAAGTTCAAACTCTCTGTAAGTTATTTTATTTTATGATTGATTGATCTATGTAAAAAGAATTCAATTCATTTAAAATTTAAAATTTTAATTTTATGAATAGAAAGAGAAATACTAGAAAAGTTTTTTCATTTATAAGACTTAACATAATTTAATTTTAAATTAATAATGATTAAATATAACTTCTAAATACTAAAGATTTACTACAAAATAAAATATTTTTTT